TGTGTATTATTGGTAAACATGTTTCAGGAGGGCAGGTTACCTCTTTGTATACTAAGTCCTCTCGCCACTGATGCCCACTCTCATTTAGAAGATGCAGTTTGGTGTTTTACCGTACCACACCCATGCTGACTGACAGAGGAGAAACCTAAGACCAGGGATTATACACTCTATCACAGGTATTTCCTGAGCACCTTTTATGTGCCAAACTCTGCTCCGCCTAAAAGGGCTGCCCTGTGGTCGGGGGTCTGATTGAGGTATCCAAGGGAGATCTCATGCAACCAGAAGGAGCTGTTGCATAAACAGATAAATCTCAGATACCAGACCAGTTTGATTAGATATATGTATATATATATATATATGCCTGACACAAAAAATGCACACAATAGAAGCATATTTTAATACTTTTTTTGGTTTTGTAGCTTCTGTTCCTCACACCATGCAGGCACATAATAGATACTCACTATATTGTTAAGTATAATTGAACATTACACTCTCATCCTCATTTAATAAACTGATAGATATATTTTTCAGCTGTATTTTCAGATTAAGAGCTTGCTTCTGATCCCTACCATTCCAGAAACAGGTTACCCCATTATTGTGTAGACGATGTGTTTGCATTTGATGGATCCCAAAAAGAATCGATAGCAAAATTTTTGTCATGTTGTGTAATGTTTTCAGTTCTCTGAATACCACTTTATAAAGTTCTCTGAGTTCTGGAATGCCTAAGAAAACGCTGAGCAAGTTACACAAATGGAAATTTAACTGCATTTAAGAACTAAGTTCTGTGTAAACACAGATGCACTTGCTCTAACTGTCCTACTAAATAATAATAGCATTCAAAGATGCTGCAAACGTTAATTTCTCAAGTACTGTATATTACAGGGAAATGAGATTAAATTATTATTTCTTACATAACCATGTTTCTAAGCATTTTCTATAAATATGAAATTATACTGGGGAAAAACTGCATTTGAAGTTAACCAAAAAGAAAAGTGCTTTTAGTTTTATCGTGTTTGAATAAAATCCAGAATTAGAAGAACTGTGTTTTTTCTTATTATTACTGCAAAGAGTTGAAATAAACTACAACTAGAGATTAACTAAGGACCAGAGTCAAAAAGAAGGAAGGAAGAAGGAATTAAATGGTATTTATAAGATTTTACTTTTCTATATAAGTTAGATGGATTGTTTGGGGAAGGAGCAGAAAGTGAAAAAAGCAAAATGACAGGTTATATTAGAATGTTTTCTGTTTGAGTGCATCCGTAGTCACTGATACTGAACTGCTGATTTTAGTTAGAGATTATTCGCTTATAAAAATGTGTATACATTCTGGAATGTAGTGCAACTAAAAAAATGATTCATAGAATCACTAGGTTACATGAACAGAATTTGTATTCTCTAGAACTGCCATTTGAGGTCTGTTTTAGTTTAGCCATTATATGTTTTAACTTAACCACTGAGATGCAATCCTTAGATAGGGTATGGTAGCTTTCTTAGAATAACAAACCATAGCAACTAACTAAGTTAGGACAGGATGAATTCAAAAGTGTTTGGATGAGCTGGGGAAAATGATAAATGATGTATTATGATTTTTAAATCCTCATCTGGCCAACTTTGCACTTTATTTCAAACAGCTGTAGACCATTTGGAAGCCATTTTGTAGTTCAGCTGAGTACTAATATTTACTGTGTGAATCACATTTCTTTAAAATATTTGTCTTTCCCTGAGAAAGAGAGAGAGAGACCATTTCTTTCCCAAACTTAACTTTGATGTAAATCAGACCCATCCCCTAGGTTAGAATGTTTGATCATTGCAGTGGACTGCTCATTGCAAATGCAGTCAGCGTCATCTCTAGTTTCTGCAAGTGAAAGACTTTTCTCCATCCATAAATAGAGCTTTGAAACGTTTTTGTGGAACTTTTTACTAATGATTTTTAATTATCTGTTCTAAAGGAAGAATTTCAGTATGTGGAATTCTTACATGTTTTTTTATCATTCTGATATATTTGAGGTCCTTCTTCAGACATCTCCATCAAATATAGGATTCAGGAAACATCCTTGTGCAATTTTAGAAGGTAGCATCACAAGGACATACAGGGTGAATAATATTTGAGCCATTAGCTAGTTCTTAAAGGTGGAGGTTCTAAATTACTGTAGGGGAAGCCACCTCAGATTTTAATTCTGATCCAGGGTACCCCACTTTAGACACAATTACAGAAACATACCTCCTGAAATCAGCACCCTTTAAATTCTCCCTCTGAAGATCTGCAGCTATTCAGAGAAAAGCAGACCCATCAAGCCATGTAATGTGATGTGATGAGTTTCCTCTTTCCTAAAGTGGTATTTAGGCACGTGTAGGATGATCCCACATAGCTGGTCATCAATAGCCGATAGGGAGCCATCTGGAGGAAACCGGGTGCTCTGAATGCTAGTCAGGAATCCCGTAACGACATCGATCTCCCCTGAAACCAGGGGGCATACATCCAGCCTGAAACACGCAGAGTTGCCACCTTTCTCCTGTGGTTGTTAATAAACAAATTTCAGGAAAGTTAACACCTTGTGGGATGTTAACCACTGGAAGCCCCCCTGTAGTAATGCTGCTGTTTTTTCAATAGAAATGGAAGGCAAGAAGGATGATAGATGTTACAGTCAGTCCATCTGAACACCGTCTTACCTGTGCTACTTGGAAAATGAGGCTTCAGGCAATGCTGTGGACCCACGTGTGTAATATTTGCCTTTGGAAGCTAAATGAACCCTAGTTAGCTGCCCGAGGAGGTCACCTAGAGTAACATATGAATAAAAAACATGATAGAAATGCTTCAAGTTTACAAAAGTGTACTACCATCGAATATATTTTTGCTAAATATTTGCCTCAAAGTCCTGAGTAGGATTTCTGTCTGTGTGGGAGTTAAAACCCCCTGGAAACCGTTTTAAGGTATTAAAAGTAAATGTAAACATTGTCAGTTTAAGGTCATTAATAATAAAAAGTGTGTCTTGGGGAAGAGATTGGAAGGAGAACTACAAACAGAAATCTGTCTTTGAAGAAAGAAATAAATCAATCAAAAAGCAAGAGGGCTCTGTGTTTCTCATTCTGACTGAACCAAAGCATATGATATATATGAATCATACTGTTCAAAGACATTTGCTGGAATTTAGTGTTTATTTGTTTTCATATATGGGTGTCTAAAAAAGAATCTGAATTTGACTTCCAATAATTAGCTCAGTAAATTAAAATTTTTCCTGTAATTGAATTAATTTTCCTGTAATTGATTAATTGGCTTCATACTAAAAAATTTCTTTTAAATTTCTTTAGTTCCATATATTGTAAAGATGACAAAATGGTTGTGTGATACTATTGTATGAATTCATAATTGCCTTATTATAGTTGCCTTTATTATAATATACCAAAATGCCAAATATGAAAAACTAGGCTGAATCACTCCCTAAGGGAGAACAGTTAGCACATTCATTTCATAGGGTCCTTTATAATTCTGTTGACAAGGTTACTCATTTGTTTACTTTAAGTAAAATGTTCTGCTTTAATTAAAATATTTATGAGTAGGTAATATCTCTCACACCTTAAATTTCACAGTCAGGGACTGGTCTCAGCAAACCACCTTCCACATCAGAAACCATAAATTGACTTCTGCTGGCGACTTTGGTAGATATTTGGCCTTTACACATAATTTATATTTAATACTTTTACTGATTCTAAAGCCACTTTTCACGCTGGCCTGTGTCTGGTTTTGAGCTCAGCATTACAAAGTAGTAGCCACGCCTCATTCCTTGCTATAAAATTCAAGATGTGGGAAATTTAAAATAGTCGTATCAATGAAAATGCATCCAACGGTGAAAAATATTTTGTTCTTCTGGGCTGATTTCAAAAGATTGACAAAAGCAGACTCTAAAGCCTTGAAAGAATTACCTTAATGGTAGCAGTCGAAGTGTATTCACTTTGCTTCTTTCATTTTTGACTCTAATAACTTTTTTTCTGTTAGCTTAGCGATGTGACCTTTAGCCTACCAGCAAGTTGTTTTTCAGTACTTTTGCTCAATTTAGGATGATTTTACTTGTATTTGCAAGATCATTTCCTATGAAAAATGAAAAGCTGCTGTAAATTGAAACTCAATTCAGAACGTTTTTACCTTTTCACATTGCGGCATCCACACATCCATACCATCCTTTGTGTTTTTGTGTGTTTTCTGGAAAGGGCACGACCAGAGCAGGCTACACGTCATGGCACATGTGCAGTCCTCGGCCACTCAGGGTCCCCAGCCCATTCCCAAATGTGATTTTGACTGCCATCACTGATTGCTGAGTCTTTGAAAATAGAACTTCAAGGCACAAAACTTTAAAATAGTGATGAACCTGCAAATTCCATAACTGTTTCTTTGATTAGCATGTTGAACTTTATTGATCATCTTTGAATTCTGTCCTTGTTTTTGTATTTAGCAAGGAGATAGATGTCAGGATTTGGGTGTACTGTAGCATTATCTGCCCCTTATATAAGTACAAATGGCTTCTTTACTCACATGTGATTCCCTGAGAACTTCCTGCCATAGTATCTTTCACGGATTCTTTACCAGCTGAGCTATGAGGGAAGCTCTATATATGTCAGGATTTGAGTGCACTATAACATTATCTGCCCCTTATATAGGTATGAATGGCTTCTTTACTCATATGTGGTTCCCTGGAAACCTCCAGCCATAGTATATTTCCAAACCAACTGCCTCCACTGTCAGACTAACCCAGATATATCTCTTCATATGCTTTATGCAAAATGGGAAGTTTTACTATTGTTAATCTTTTTATTATCTAATCTCTTGCCATACTTCTTAAAAACTTGCTTCAGTAAGAAAACACTATCTTTGGGGAGATACATATTATTGTCTTGTGTCTCTGTGTATGTGTGTGTGTGTGCGCACACACAATTATCATTCTGCATTATACTTCTCTGGAAACAAAAGCAGATGCGCTTTCTAATTTAAGACTCTGTTGTTGCAGGTCTATAAAAAGAAAACAGAGGCTGCGAAGAAGGAGTACCTGAAGCAACTAGCAGCATACAGAGCCAGCCTGGTGTCCAAGGTAACATGCAACCGTGTGGTCTTGGGACGGGTTATGGCCATCTCGTCTCAGATCATGATGGTCATTTGAAAGCACAAAAGATTACTTCAGCATTTCTGGACAATCTCCTCTGCTAAAAAAGTAAATCCTAAGCAAAGCTGTATGTTATGGGAATATTTATTCGTATCTAGAGGACCAGAACAACATCCTTTGGGCCTTCTATGTAATATTGCCTGCCTGTGGATTACTTGTTTTGTGGGTTAGTTGCAGCACGTTCTTAATCCTGAGCCAACTTTCTGTTTCACCACATTCCACTCTTTAAATGTCTTCCACCCCCAGCACCCTGACCCCATCCCATTGGTCTTTGCTGAGGAGATGGCAACTGTCTTTAATTGTAGCCTCATTACAACATCATTAGGATGTACACCTGCCAAAATAAGCAAGCAGATGGGGGGAAGATGCATCATTTCATTTGAAAATGAAAGCACCCCTTACAATTATTTTGTGCCTTGGAATATCTCAAATATGAGCCCTTGCTATAATAAAAACTCAGGAGTTAACTCTGTTTGGTATTGGGTTATTAAATCTGTATTTCCCTGTATAGATTTCTCAGGGAATAGTCTCAGAGGCTACTGAGGCTGAGGCTGTGAAGACTGGACACTGTTATCCTAAGTCCAGATGTGGCTGGTATTTGGCTCAGCATCGGGTGAGGCTCTGGACTTTAGTCCATTCACCCATGAAAAATACTGTTTCTTTTATCCACAAATACCCACTCCCCTCCAACAACTCTAAAGTAATTATGTAAGTTAGTTTTCCTTGGGGAATATGTATACGGAATATATGATGTGCAGAAGAAAAAGGAGCACAAAATACAAATGCATAAGAAATTTCAGCTCTGTTGGCCTCATGCAGCCTGTTCCACTTCTAAAGTATGACATTGTGGGAAAACTGAATATTATTATTTAACCTTAAAATTCCTACCTTATCTGTATTACTTCACTATGGATCTTACACTTTCTAATTTTTCTCTTTTCAGAGCTGTTTGTATTTTCTGCTGATACCATTACACATTTCTGTATAATTATAAAATTCATAGCATGTATGTAAAATTATAGCAGAAAAACAAGGTGCACAATACTATTTGTTGTTGTTCAGTCGCTCAGTTGTGTCTGACTTTGTGACCCCATGAACTGCAGCACACCAGGCCTCCTGTCCTTCATTATCTCCTGAAGTTTGCTCAAACTCATGCCCATTGAGTCACTGATGCTGTCTAATCATCTGTTGTTCCCTTCTCCTCTTGCCCTCAGTCTTTCCCAGCATTAGGGTCTTTTTTAGGGAGTCAGCTCTTCCCATCAGGTGACCAAAGTATTGGAGCTTCAGCTTCAACATTAGTCCTCCTAATGAATATTTAGGGTTTGATTGGTCCGATACTACTAGGTTGGTATAAAAGTAATTGCAGTTTTGGACCATGAATTTTAAATTATTATAACTAGGCTCAAACACATCTGTGTTAATCAAAATAGGAACCATTACCATCAACACATTTTTGCCAAAGAGAAATAAGTTTATTTTTTCCTGTAGCATAAAAATGCATGTTTTGGGATTCAGAAAACTCTTGGAATGCATTTTCTGCCTCCTGCTGGTTGTGGAAGTTGTTTTCCCAACAAAAAGTTGTTGAGGTGCCTGAAGGAGTGGTAGTCATGAGAAGTCAAAGGAATATGGCAGATGATGCAAAACGTCATAGCCCAATTCGTTCGACTTTTGAAGCACTGGTTGTGTGATGTGTAGTCGGGTATTGTCGTAGAGAAGAATTGGGTCCATTCTGTTAACCAATACCTGCTGCAGGTGTTGCCATTTTCAGTGCATCTCATTGATTTGCTGAGCATACTTCTCAGCTGTAATTATTTTCTCAGGATTCAGAAAGCTGTAGTGGATCAGACTGGCAGCAGACCACCAGTGACCATGACCTTCTTTTGGTGGAAGTTTGACTTTGGGAAGTGCTTTGGAGCATCTTCTCTGTCCAGCCACTGAGTTGGTCATCACCAACTGTCATATAAAATCCACTTTTTATTGCACATCACAATCCAATGGAGAAATTGTTCATTGTTTTTGCATAGAATAAGAGAAGATTTCACTTCAAAACGATTTTTTTGGCTTGTGGTCAGCTCATGAGCACCCACTTATTGAGCTTTTTTACCTGTCCAGTTTCTTTCAAATGCTAAATGACAATACAATGGTCGACACTGAGTTCTTCGGCAACTTCTCATGTAGTTGTAACAGGATCAGCTTCAATGATCCACTCAACTGGTTGTTGTCAACTTCCAGTAGCAGGCCACTGTGGTGTTCATCTTCAAGACTCTCCTCTCCTTTGCAAAACTTCTTGAACCACCACTGCCCTATATGTTCATTAGCAGTTCCTGGGTCAAATGCATTGTTGATGTTGCTAGTTGTCTCTGCTGCTTTACAATCCATTTTGAACTCGAATAAAGAAACTACTTGAATTTGCTTTTCATTTAACATCATTTCTATAATCTGGAATAAATATAAAATAAACAGAAAGTAATAACTCATTAGCAAAATAACATAAAGTGAGAAATGTGCATTAAAATAATGTATAACATAACCACATTTAATTAAGAATATATTCCAATATCAAATGGCAAATTTCAACAGTACAAAACCTCCGTTACTTTTGCACCAAACTAACAAATCCATCCAACAATTGGGTTATATAGTCACTTGGTATCATGCAGATTAATATACCCAAGATGTAAGTTCAGTTCAGTTCAGCCACTCAGTTGTGTCTGACTCTTTACAACCCCATGAACTGCAGCACGCCAGGCCTCCCTGTCCATCACCAACTCCCAGAGTTTACCTAAACTCATGTCCATTGAGTCGGTGATGTCATCTAACAATCTCATCCTCTGTCGTCCCCTTCTCCTCCTGCCCTCAATCTTTCCCAGCATCAGGGTCTTTTCAAATGAGTCAGCTCTCCACATGAGGTGGCCAAAGTATTGGAGTTTCAGTTTCAACATCAGTCCTTCCAATGAACACCCAGGACTGATCTCCTTTAGGATGGACTGGCTGGATCTCCCTGCAGTTCAAGGGACTCTCAAGAGTCTTCTCCAACACCACAGTTCAAAAAGCATCAATTTTTCAGTCCTCAGCTTTCTTCACAGTCCAACTCTCACATCCATACATGACCACTGGAAAAACCATAGCCTTGACCAGACAGACCTTTGTTGACAAAGTAATGTCTCTGCTTTTTAATTTGCTATCTGGTTGGTCATAACTTTCCTTCCAAGGAGTAAGCATCTTTTAATTTCATGGCTGTAGTCACCATCTGCAGTGATTTTGGAGCCCAAAAAAATAAAGTCTGACACTGTTTCCACTGTCTCCCCATCTATTTCCCATGAAGTGATGGGACCAGATGCCATGATCTTAGTTTTCTGAATGTTAAGCTTTAAGCCAACTTTTCCACTCTCCTCTTTCACTTTCATCAAGAGGCTTTATTTCCTCTTCACTTTCTGCCATAAGGGTGGTGTCATCTGCATATCTGAGGTTCTTGATATTTCTCCTGGCAATCTTAATGTGCTGTCTAGGTTGGTCATAACTTTTCTTCCAAGGAGCAAGCGTCTTTTAATTTCATGGCTGCAATCACCATCTGCAGTGATTTTGGAGCCCAAAAAAATAAAGTCTGACACTGTTTCCACTGTCTCCCCATCTCTTTGCCATGAAGTGATGGGACCAGATACCATGATCTTAGTTTTCTGAATGTTGAGCTTTAAGCCAACTTTTCCACTCTCCTCTTTCACTTTCATCAAGAGGCTTTATTTCCTCTTCACTTTCTGCCATAAGGGTGGTGTCATCTGCATATCTGAGGTTCTTGATATTTCTCCTGGCAATCTTAATGTGCTATCTAGGTTGGTCATAACTTTTCTTCCAAGGAGCAAGCGTCTTTTAATTTCATGGCTGCAATCACCATCTGCAGTGATTTTGGAGCCCAGAAAAATAAAGTCTGACACTGTTTCCACTGTTTCCCCATCTCTTTGCCATGAAGTGATGGGACCAGATACCATGATCTTAGTTTTCTGAATGTTGAGCTTTAAGCCAACTTTTCCACTCTCCTCTTTCACTTTCATCAAGAGGCTTTATTTCCTCTTCACTTTCTGCCATAAGGGTGGTGTCATCTGCATATCTGATACTTCTCCTGGGAATCTTGATTCCAGCTTGTGCTTCTTCCGCCCAGCGTTTCTCATGATGTACTCTGCATAGAAGTTAAACAAGCAGGGTGATAATATACAGCCTTGATGTACTCCTTTTCCTATCTGGAACCAGCCTGTTGTTCCATGTCCAGTTCTAACTGTTGCTTCCTGATCTGCATACAGGTTTCTCAAGAGGCAGGTCAGGTGGTCTGGTATTCTCATCTCTTTCAGAATTTTCCACAGTTTATTGTGTTCCACACAGTCAAAGACTTTGGCATAGTCAATAAAGCAGAAATAGATGTTTTTTCTGGAACTCTCTTGCTTTTTCAATGATCCAGCGGATGTTGGCAATTTGATATCTGGTTCCTCTGCCTTTTCTAAAACCAGCTTGAACATCTGGAAGTTCATGGTTCACATATTGCTGAAGCCTGGCTTGGAGAATTTTGAGCATTACTTTACTAGCATATGAGATGAGTGCAACTGTGCGGTAGTTTGAGCATTCTTTGGCATTGCTTTTCTTATGTAAGGGGGCATATGAATTCTTGTTTCATCCAAGGTAAGTTTCTTCTTGAACATTTTAAAGAGAAGTTTTAGTCAGGACATTTTACATACAAGAAAATCAATACATAAAGTCTTGGTCCCAATACAAAACACTCTGGTTAATATTATGCAGATTACCAGAATGCTATAGGACTGACTAAGGCTTTACTTTCAAAACAAGAGTTCTCAGATTTGCTCTTAGCTGCAACTTTTCTTACTATTCATTCTTGGAGTTGCAACCCTCAGTACATGGCAATTTGTATAAATGCTGTGAAT